AAAAAAAAAAAACTGTTATCAGTGATATTCTAGACGCCATACATTTAGTGTAGACCTCAAAAAAGTCGATAACGTGTTTTGCGGATTAAGGAGTATTTAGAGTCTGCACGGAATAAACTTAATTAAAGCATAAAACCTTCCGAGACTACAGGAGTGTTCGCTTTGGTTTATTTTACAAGATACGTAGAAGAGACAAGATCAATGTGTTTTTTTTATTTATTTATAGAGGTATGGGATAATAAATCGTAAGGCAAGGAAAGCGGACAAAAGTTCCCTTGACAGGTTGAAAACATCTTTCAAGTCAATTTACGTAATCTTTTATGTTTTGATAAAAATGCCAAGCCTGTTAAATGCAGATAATTTTATGCATGCATTAAGCTGAATTTGTTATCCACCGACTTCCGAAATGTAAAGACAACTGCGATTCATTTGCAAATTCAGATGTAATTTTAACAATTCTTCTATCAAAAAACATTACTTTATACTTCTCTTGTCTTAATTCTCTCATTATTTGCACAATTGCGTGCGCCCAAGAGGGCTAAAGAAAACGCGGATTTTATAAACCCACCCAAGCTCCTCCAATCGCCGCAAACCACCTGATCCCGCTAAATGCATTTAGTGAACGGATGCCAGGCATTGTCTTTCAGTTTCATCTCGCACTTGGGTAATTCGGACATTGAGATCGATAAAGCTGAACGGTAGGTAAAACGGTTTTGAAGTCTGATATGAGGTGAATGCCAGTGATTGTATAAAACACATCCACTTGAANGTACGTATTGAAGATCATTCTCTCGGCCTACTTGGTTATTGACCTAGGTAAATAACATGATCCACCAAAATACTGATAAAAGCACAGCGAAAAAAAAAACTGTTATCAGTGATATTCTAGGCGCCATACATTTAGTGTAGACCTCCAAAAAGTCGATAACGTGTTTTGCGGATTAAGGAGTATTTAGAATCTGCACGGAATAAACTTAATCAAAGCATAAAACCTTCCGAGACTACAGAAGTGTTCGCTTTGGTTTATTTTACAAGATACGTAGAAGAGACAATATCAATGTGTTTTTTTATTTATTTATAGAGGTATGGGATAATAAATCGCAAGGCAAGGAAAGCGGACAAAAGTTCCCTTGACAAGTTGAAAACATCTTTCAAGTCAATTTACGTAATCTTTTATGTTTTGATAAAATGCCAAGCCTGTTAAATGCAGATAATTTTAAGCATTCATTAAGCTGAATTTGTTATCCACCGACTTCCGAAATGTAAAGACAACTGCGATTCATTAGCAAATTCAGATGTAATTTTAACAATTCTTCTATCAAAAAACATTACTTTATACTTCTCTTGTCTTAATTCTCTCATTATTTGCACAATTGCGTGCGCCCAAGAGGGCTAAAGAAAACGCGGATTTTATAAACCCACCCAAGCTCCTCCAATCGCCGCAAACCACCTGATCCCGCTAAATGCATTTAGTGAACGGATGCCAGGCATTGTCTTTCAGTTTCATCTCGCACTTGGGTAATTCGGACATTGAGATCGATAAAGCTGAACGGTAGGTAAAACGGTTTTGAAGTCTGATATGAGGTGAATGCCAGTGATTGTATAAAACACATCCACTTGAAATATTCAGGGTCATTTTTCATGTAAGAAATATGCTAAGTCGTTAAGCCTGGAAACGTTGTATTACCTCCCATTCACATTATCAGACATAGATAGATTTTCAGATTCATAGGCTTCTTCAATCCGAGACAATGAAAGATTGAATTGCAATAGAAAAGAAAGATTGATAGCAGTCTTTAACAGAATTCTAAGATGATTTTTAAGCTCAAAGTCTAAGACTGAACGTGAAGGAATATGGCAACCATGAACGACATCATTTTTAAAAATAGATGAGTAACCAGGATAAGACATTTGGAGAAATAGAAAAACGAACTCTGGTTAAAAATTTGCTAAAACGAGCTTTCGACTGCCAGTCTGTAGTCTTTAACGAGTAATAGATAGAAAGCGCGAACGTTAAAGTATATACTGAGAAAAGTGTGAAAAAACAAAATTATAATAAGAAACAATAGCAATGCTTGTGTGCGAGTTAAAAAATGCTAATGAGAGGTTCAAAATAAAATTGAATATTGTCTTGGTAATTGTTTCGCATTATTGTCAGCATGGTTCGTAACTGCTGTGTGCCAGGATTCCAAAGTTTTTCTAACACGGAAATTTCCCTTGTCAATCACGCGTGCATTGTCAAAGTCGATGGAATGGTCGTTCAACTAGGCATGTGAAGCAATGTTGGAACCTTTTTTAAAGGTTTTTGTGTTTCTAATATTTTCTTTCTTCCAACATTGCACACAAGCACACAAGCATTTCTATTGTTTCTTATTATAATTTTGTTTTTTCACACTTTTCTCAGTATATAATTTAACGTTCGCGCTTTCTATCTATTACTCRTTAAAGACTACAGACTGGTAGTCGAAAGCTCGTTTTAACAAATTTTTAACCAGAGATCGTTTTTCTATTTTTCCAAACATTACTTTTGTTACTGTCAAAAATATAGAAGCACAAGCAAGTGGCAAATTTTTGTGAATTGTTGTTGTTGTTGTTTTTTTTTTAAAAAAAGGAAACAAACTTATTTCGTGAACAGAAATTTTCTATTTTCTAAAGGTCTCTCGAAATTTGCGACTCTATAGTGATCCCACCTAAAGCGCACCACCCTACGCCCTAATACACTAAAGCTTTTAATTCGGTAAAGTGGAAAAGAAAAAACCTCTTAAAACGTTTCATGAAAACGAAATCCAATTTTCAATTGGCGGCAAGATAAAATAGAAACTCATAGCTCAGTCTTATCCAGACAAAAAAGAACTTTATTAAAAAGATATAAACGTATTTTCTCTCCGTTCTCTCAATCATTGCACCTTGATTCGCATACTTTGGTTTCGTACTGCGACCTTAATTTGTATCCAGATTTCCCTCTACTTCCCTGGCCATGAAAAATAAGTACTTATTGATTATCCTTGTTACTAAACAAGATTTTCTCGAAATAAAATGACCCCTAGAAGAAAAATCACTTATCTTTTTATTAACACAAACCTGCTAAGAGATCTCATGAAATTATTCATGCGAGAATATCGATGACGCATTTGACTGGAGAGCACTTTATTGGTTTGGTGTTACTCTGATATTATATGTGACAAGGTGTGAATTCTCTCACAAGTTAACAGACCTGAATTTCCTTGATTCACACCAATGGCGACGTGAAGCCAGTTACGACTTCCAGATTTGCTTACTTTTGCTGATTTACTTAAACACAGTCGTTACGTGTAAAAGATAGAACGTCTTTCTCTAGAGTCAGTGGCGTTGGATAATGTTGGCTCTTTTGAAAAACATTTGACCTGAATTTATCAATCGTAAAACAAGATGGAGTACGAAATTGAAAGAACGTGAAGGAATCAGTAAAACTGCGGCTTTTGAAGACCACCTACGTGAGTAAAGAGTAAAAGAGTAAAATTTTGACACAGTTTGAAAGTTTGAAGTATTAAGATGAGTTTTATGAAGGAGTAGAGAAACAAACAAATCAACCAAACAAATGAGTGAAACAGTAATTTAGTAAGTACGCAAATAAATGAATGAAATAAACAGACAAAAAATTAAAACTATATCGTCTAGCAACGATGTTGAAAGGTCCGCTACACCTCTCGTTTAAAACATGACTCTCGTAAGGCAGTGTGGTTTGTAGTTTTAATGGCATTTCCCAACAACACAGAGATCCCGCAAAAATACGGTACCTCACAGTGAAAGATGTTATAACCGATATCCTCCCAAAATTATAATGTAATACGCTTTAACCGCTTTCGTCTAAAAACCCACTGAACGATAATTAAAGTAAATTGTAATCGAAATTTATCTAGGACACTTCTTTTCACTATTACTTTCCCGTAGCCGACTGGTTTTAATTTAGATTTTAAAGTGTAGACACTGTAGAAATTCTCAAGGGAGATAAACTTTGTTTCTCGTTCTTCCTCATTCCCTTTATCTGTCTCCACCCTATAAGGACTTCTTCAAATTTGACAAACAAACAGTAGATCAATTGCAATTTTCATTTCAAATTCGCTTTCTTAGCAAACTGAAAACAAGCAGTCGACCACAAGGAACAATCATTTATGATGTTACAGCTTTCAACACTTCAATATTGTGTGTTATTAGTTTTTTAATTGCGTTATTTTGAGTCTTATATGACCTATTGGAATCCAAAAAAATAATCTCCCTAGAGAAAATATGTCACCACGGCAAATTATCACTAATCAACAACCTGAAATCATCGAACAAAAATTCGTGCTAGAATGTCTTACTTCTTAGTAGAAAAATGTCTCCATTACTAACAATTTGTTAGTTTTGATGATGTATAATTGACCTGATCGACGCATGTGTCTTTTTTCTTTATTAACCGAAGAGGCATAGCGGTAATTGGGTCGTGGGAGTATCTTTAAGAATCTTTTAGAGTTTTAATCAAAGCAAGAGCATTCCTAATACAGAGTAAAACAATCCTTTTAGAGTATCGGATAATCCACTAACCAATTTTCCAGCTGTATTGACTTAAGATTTTAACACAGGAAAACTATATCAATTAACTTGGAAAGTAATGAAAAAGTGTGTTTATGAAGGCATACTCATGTAAAATCCAATTGAAAGAACCAGACAACAACCTTAATTTCCGTGATCTGGGATTACCATCAGAATAGGTAAAATATGGCAATGTAAACTATTCTATTGCGTTTGTTATCTACACAAGTTATTTGCCCGTCATAACTGAAAACAGCTTTTCTTTTTTTCGAGATTTTTTACAGGTAGTCTGAATTTTATTTGTTTACTGAGGTCTGTTGAATTAAGCCCGTTTGAGATTTAACATTTTCTTCAGTATAAATGGAGAAAAGATAAATCTTTCATGTCATCATGACTTGAAATCAACTGAAAAAAAGCGCGTGCCTAAAGTAAGTACAACTTTTTTTTGGTTTAAAACTGAGTAGCTACTCTCAAAGTTGGTTGTTTGAGTCGAGCATTTAAAAACACAAACACTGGGGTATGGATTCGCTTTCCCCAAGTTCTTTTGAAATGAAGGTTTTAGAACTAAAAACTTGCAAACTACTAGCAATTGTTATCGTTGAGTCGACGAAGGAAATGAAGCGAGAATGAACGAGATACCAAACTTCACGTCCAAGACTTGACATTGGAAGACATTATATTTCTGTAATACCTAGACCCATAAGCAATCTTTTGGGACGGGGAGGTATCATGCAACTATTTTCAAAGGGGCAATTTTTTGGCTACTGGAATTCTGAGGAGTTCGGGGTCAGGTGGGGAGAGAAGGATGTTGGTAATGATTGCGAGAGAAATGCAATAGCTGATGATTAGAAGATTACGTTGGTCCGACATGAAATGGTGTATATAAATTCCGCAGCACTGAGATTTTAGACAATTTAAGTGAAATATTTCTGGAGAAAAATCGCAGCTGAATACGCAAAACTATGCGGAGGGTTTTATGAAACAGGTCTTGTGATAACACAGGGTTTTGTTATGCCTAGTCACTGTTTTGCCGAACTGTTGCCAAAAATCTGTATAATCCGTGAAGATGGTCGTCAAAGAAGGAAAAATGCTCGAATATCTGAAAAACTGTCTTATATTGAGCCGGAAACGAAACCAATCGAAGGAACTTAGTGGTGTTATTCGACCCATTACGTATACTTGCGTGAAAAGAAATAAAGAGGACGGTCTAAAGGAAAATACTAACGATTAAATGTGATAAAAAAGGTAAAACGTGACTTGCTAAACAAAAAGCAGTAAAAGAGGAAGATCCACAATCTCTAGGGGCTTCATGAAAAAACTTCAGCATTCCTTCAACCTCTGTGGACGAAAGGTGTTGAAACGAGTTGAAACGTGTGAGCACGTAAGATTCTGTTAAAGTTCCAGAAAAAAATGTCGTCAAAAAATGTCTTATAATCTGGATAGAGAGGGAAAAAAATGTCATGAGAGGGTATTTCATCGGAAAAGGGTATTATATGTAATGTTATATCAGAGTTCACTGCTTGCCAGTGCCCTTTTAGCATGCGATGTAAAGCGTTGAAATCTTGCAATACATTTTCGTCATCTTTCGAGACTTTTCTTGTTGATAGATTGGTCACAATAGGTCAGAATGTGAGAACATGTTCGTGATAACTTGTTTCCACAAATTAAATGACAATAGCAGTCTTGGCACGTTCCAGTCGTCAACTTAGGGAAATCTCAATGTAAGTACATGCTAACTAACATTTTTGCGTGTGGTTGAGGAGATACATAAGCTATAGTTCACGCAGAGGGTTTATATAATATCACAATCAAATAGTACGGGGAAAATTAAGATAAAATCACAATCAAATGTTACGGGAAAAAGAAACCGATTTGGTAAGATAAGACCGACGACTAGAAACATTTCTGCGTAAAATTCTTCAACATTCGCTGTTATTTTAAAACTCTTGGGTTGGGTCATTTTTAGAGTAAATGTTTCGGACGAGGTCGATAGTTTAACTTTGGGAATGTTTATTCTACTATTTCCTTTGTAAAATTTCAGTCGTCGTTCTTCAGTCCTAGGGGCTTTGGCGAAATGGCTGCTATCAACCTACTACACTTAATATTTACGAGTGGGGTTTCGGTTTGGTGAATATACTTAGCAGTAGAATTTGAGAGACATTTTGGTGGTAGGATAAAGTTGATTTTGGCGGTATCTCGAAACCTTATCAATTTGAAGTATTTTAAGAAGGACTTTTTAGCTATTTTGGTGTAAGTTAAAACAGATTTTTTTGTCGTTTCTTCGTATCTCCGTTTATCAGGAAGTTTGAATTCCGTTATAGGGACGCCAGCAAGTTTGCAATTAGCACAATGATTCTTGTTGATTGTGTTGTCACTCGACATCGGACCGATATGAATCGAAGATAAACGAGCACCAATTGTTGGCATCAATTGTTGGAGAATAAGTGGACTCGGGGTTGGCAAACAACAATTCCAAGTACAGTTTGTAAAGGAAATAAGTCGGCAAAATGTTATTTCAGATTAGGCTAGGGAAGAAAATGTCATCTGCCATTGTAACGCTTGGAAAGTAGACGTCATGCCAAAGAAAAAGGGTTATTAAGAAGATATGATTGACCATCGCAGTTATGCACACAACTTAGGCAGTTGTGAAATTAAAGCCTAAAAAGAGTTATTAACCAACAAAGATTAATCAATAATCCGATTACCACGATTTGACAGTTTTTATATCGTTTCGGAATTATTTTACATGTGTCGACTATGTAAAAAAAGACCTGATGTCTTGTTCTTCTCGATAAGAGATTAGTAAATCTATTGCTACTGAAACCCGCGCTATGATATGGACTTAATTTTAGCGTAGGGCTATTTTTGATTCAGATTTAACACAGCCTTTTCTCAATGCCTAACACCTTTGTTTTTTAGGTCGGGAAATGACTGAAGTAATTAATTGCTTGTGGGATCCCCGTCTAGGATTGCACCAAAAACATATTTTTTGGGTTGTAATTTTTCGCTGCTTAAACAGATAATTGTTCTAAGTTGTTATCAGAGGGCTGAAAAGTATTATTCCGTCGGAAACTTTTTCGGAGGGTATTAAAGATAATCGTACAGTTTCAACTCCGGGATCAATGTGGCGAACAACTTTGCTACATGAGGAGATGAGGGTATCACCTAAACCCAATGCATCCAGTGCTGATTGTCTCACTGTTCTGGGTTTGCTAAAATTGAAGCATTTTCTTCCTTTGCAAGGCAGGGTATGCAGAAAATGCAGTGATTCCTGAATTGCTGTTGTTGTTGTTGCTGCTGTCAAAATTGATTTTTTTTCCCCCGCTACTTTCAACATCTTGTCCAAAAATAGCCTTTGGTGGTACCGTGGGCGCTTTAGTGACGCCACTGACGTTATTGAATGCGTGAAACTACTGACCGTAGAATTGACCTCAGAGGGAAACACGTCGGGAATTTTACAACGACAAAATGGCCGAGAGGTGGCCAAGAGCCACGGCTGTTTGCTGTGAAAAACTGATGACAAGTAAGTCCAATGTGGTACTGTTTATTACATTGTACAAGTCGATGGATAAATGCCGCTAGGGGGTACCTCCTCTAATTGACTACACGGGGAGGCTGCACCCGGGTACCTTTTTCAGGCTGGAGGTGTGGTAAAAGAGAAGGGATAAGCGCGTTCACAAGAGGAAGGGAAAACTGTTATTTAAGACCTTTCCAAATGTCCAACAGACGCACTCAACAGCTGATTCATCAAGGGTTCAACCGATGCAATAGTATAGAAAAGGGACATAGTGTGACTTCTTTAGTTATGAGAAATTAGTACCTCTTTGTATTGAAGGTACACGAAAGGGTTACCTTTCATACTAAGATGGTACACGAACAGTAAAGGATTAGATCTTTTGGGCCTCAGGTCGGAGACTCCCCTTACGTAACGTGGCTGAGTTGTCCCAGGAATAACACTCTAGTATGCGACCATTCAGAAGATTGCTAACGAGTCACTTTACTTTCACATGGTATGGTTTTCACGCTGTACAAGTTGCTTCCAAGCTTACTTTTGAGTAAGTGGAAGAAACTCAAGCATGCGATCATTCATCATTGTTCATCTGGTGCTCATTGCTTTTTTTGCAAATTCTGTGCAATGAAGTTCGGGAGCATTTCAATTTCGAAGTTGAAGAGTCTTGGTCTAAGTACTAGTATGCGTCAAGGAAGTCTGGAACCAAAAACGAAAATATCAGAATAGACCAATTTCGATATATTAAAATTCAGCCTAAAACATTACGCCTCAGCACGAGGCTCCGGGGAATAACTACAGAATTTGTGGGGCTTATTCCCCGGAGCCTCGCGCTGAGGTCTATTGTTTTAGGCTGAATTTTAATATATCGAAATTGGGCTATTGGATGCGTTCTCATACATGTGGCATGACTTAATGTTAATTTGCGTGTGCCAGTACGGTAGTTTTGGAACGCCCAAGAACTCGCTCGTTCAAAGGTCAGTTCGTAGGCAAGGCGGACAACAGCTTGCATAATTATTAAAATCATATTGACGGAGCCTAAACTTAGCCGTGATTGTGTCATATCAATCGGAAGCACGCTTCAGTTTAGCTGATTGAAATGATATCATGTCGAGTTCCAAGAGACTGGGGTAGACACTTGTATTTTGATTATTGAAAAGTAATTTATTACTTAGTAATAGACGAGTTTGTTATTACTTAGTATGAGATTTAAATTGCGGGGCGTCACAGATCACGCCGGATGCGATTGATCACGAACACGTTGCCTCGTAACTTTTTTTATGGGTTGGGGAACTCTTGGTGCATTCTCAGTGAGTAGAGTGTGGTTGACTATTCTACCAAAAATAGGTACTTAAAATGCACACGTGTCTGCAACAGTATTCAGAAATTGCAGAATGATAGACGACATTCTTTTACTTTCACTCAAACATCCCGTAGGAAAAAAGCCTATGAATGGATAAACCTGGTAAACCTCACCACATTAGGGTGATTTGTAAGCCAGTGGCTCATTGGACTAGTGCTAGCTCTAATGGCGGCCCTCGTTCAATTCTATATACTTTCGCATTCCCTCAAGATAATTGGACATGGTGGCCCTGGTGTGGTTCGTTGTTATGTACGTGATACGATTGATTTTATGTCCCACACGATTGCTCCCGGAATTTGGACCAATTATTGATCATACAGTCACTTGATGGCATAGTGTAGCTCCATGTGTAGCCAAATCGCATTCAGTACCGTCTACATTTAACTGAGTGAAGCGAATTATGCTTTTCTGCTTTTTTTAAGAAGTCTGAGGTACTTTTATCACAAGCTCGCCAAATAATGGAATAGTCTTGGAATAGTCTAAAATCGTTACAGCTGTTTTATAGCACAATTGCTTTAAGAGGAGATGCAATTTTCACGACAGGCAGCAATGAAAGTGAGGTGCTTTCTCGACGTGAAGTAGTACTCAGAAATAACGCAAACGCGGCCGATTTTACTACGGAGTTAGACCAAATGAACGTTTCTAGTGGCTTTTGCAAAAGCTTAGATCTTCCGTGACATAGATAAGGCCATTTTTACACAACCATGATTTACTCGTCGAGTCCATTATTTTGTAGCTGAAATGTATTTCAGCGTGGTTATGTAAGCGACGATCACCTGCTTTCAGTGGATGTGTTTTTAGTGCGGTCAGTCCAAAAACCGATCTCCCAGGGACATTCAATGACTTAATCAATTGATCTTGGTTAGTAATCTGTTAAACCAGAAGAAAAACACCGCACTTTATTTGTTTTGTTTGATGCAATAGGTGCCCCGCTTAGACATATGGACGTAGGATCCGTTTAATTAAACTGTGGTTTTCAAATCAGGTTCGTGGTAAACTCAGTCAGACTCCATAGCTGGCTTTGACGAAAAACGAGGTTTGTTCAAACGTTTTTCTTTTATTTTCAGTGTTGAATTTTAAGTTCAAAATTCTGTACCCTTAGATTAGAATTATCAAAAGTATTGATAAAATCATTTTTCAATTCATGACAGTACAGATCTTCTAAGTCAGCGATCTGCTGCAGGGCCCACAAGCTCTCTCACATGAACAGAGCAAAACTTTATTAAATCTGCTCTCTTCCAAATACATGTGAAACGATTGTTTAAGAAATTTCTAGTCAAGCTACGTGTGACTAATTTGGGGAAACAGGCAGCTCTACAGGGTACATTATCTTCTGCTGTGAAAAGTTTATTAAGAAACTAGGAGATCAATTTTCATGGGACCTGACAAACCAAGGCTGCACATCATAAGTTTTTTTTATGCGTTCTTCAACTCTTGGCATTTTAAACTATTTGCGCTGAATACTGATATAAATTCAAATGAGTTAGGATGGTAAGGGCGTTGGTTCGATGTTCTCGAATTATCGCGAGAAATTTATTCTTCTGCTGTAAATGGAATCTTTGCCAAAAGACGTTCCTACGCAAACAAGAGGTAAAATAACTCAAAAAAGAAAAAATTTACTTATAAAAGTTATTCACAAAGCATTATTGATTTGAAATTTTCTAGACACAAACGCACAAAGAAATGTTAGTAAAATACTTCCTACATTTAATTTGTTGTTTAAACTTACCGTTTCGTGCAGGAGACACTTTCCATTTGTAGCAAACATGCAGTTAATTAAACTACGGCTAACGCTGAGGCATGGCTGGTAGCACATTTTCCCTCTTTTGTGTCTCAAATTAGAAAGTATGTTGCGTAAATATATTGTTACTTACAAGACAAATAAGCTTTGTGTTAGCTTGTGATCTAATTCTAATAAAGAGGTGCAATAAAATTCACTGTCGACTCCTAAGATTAAATTTGGCAGCAACAAAAGATTGCAATTTGGCGGAAATAACAATTTTTGATAATTTTCTAGTGCGTTATTTAAAAAAAGGCATGGTTGAAATTTGTCCTTTTTTATTGCAGGTGCCATTTGTAGTTTCAATAACAACAACACAACTAATGGGTTCTCGATAATATTCAGAAAGTCCATTGAAATATGTTCGCCTGAAGCTGACAATATTTCGATCCAGATATAAACGGAAACCGGGAAGAAATTTATTAAAATGGCTGACGATGTTTCATTGTTACCTTTTTCATATTAAAAAGACATTTTCTTGGTATCTTTAGTCGTTATGATAAACGACAAGGCGGCCGCTTCTTGTTTACAGAGCAAAGCCGAAAGTTGGGGGGGTTTGATATTGTTTTGTTAGGAAGTAATTTTCCAAGCCGAGGCAAAATCTTCATTTTGTATGCAAATTTTGTAAACGTGGAATTTCAATGAGCTCTATACGTTGTCGGAAATGTGCGTGGTGATTGCTTGAAAAAAATTCTTAAAACATATAAATTGAAGATTCATTGTCACGGTCTTCATAAACACGGATTAGTGGGCACTAGCAAGAGACTTCACCTTAAGGGCTCACCAGTTATTATGTGCTGTTAAGAGGGATTGAAACTGGTTTGCTGTAGAGATAGAAGAAGATTTAATTTATTATCCTTAACTTTTGTTACCAACAGGCTTTTTGCATAGAGCAACGAGAAGTCGAAGCTCCAACTGGACTGTGTTGTAAAGAAAAACGGACTTCGGGTGCTCGCATTCTTTCAACACTCACCTACACTCTTCAGTGAATAAACGCTTTCTTCAACTCAACGTACGAGTGCCTCTGCGAGAGCAATCTATTCGGATGAGGCCGCTGTTACTTTATTAAGGGAACTAACCAGTAGATAAACTAAAACGACGTTTGATAAACAAGCCAATTTTCCTGCTAAAATACAGCAGTGGTCATCAAAACGCAACGTCTAGAGCCATATGAACCATGCAAGCTAACCTGAGCAACCTGTCATTCGACCCATTCTACAATGACGTCGAGTCTGAGGGCGAGATTCCATTTCTTGTTTTCGTCTTGTTGCTCATTGTTGCCACTGTTGCCGGTAATGGCTTCGTATTCATGGCTGTTTATACATTCCGAGAGTTGCGGACGGTGACAAATTACTTTATCGTGTCTCTTGCTTCGGCGGATTTAGCTGTAGCTCTTCTGGCGATGCCTGTGTGGCTCATCAGCGCGCTTATTCCCATCGACAATGAAAATGATCATCTGGTTCTGGACTTGTGCACCAAATGGATTGATCCTTTCTGCTGCACAGCATCCATCGTCAACGCCACATTGGTTTCCATTGACCGTTACTGCGCCATCAGCCGGCCTTTAAGGTACAAGACCGTGGTGACACCACGCCGTGCCAAACAGTCCATCGCCATGGTTTGGGGATTCTCATTTATCATCGCTGGAATCTCCTTTCTACAGTTCCACGAGGACCTCAAGGTCACTCACGGATATGTCATCTTTTTGTTCTTGGCCCTGTTTTGTATTCCTCTCATTATCATGTCATTTTCCTACATCTCCATCTGCAGGGCGGCCATCAACCAGATTTCCAAGATGCAGTCAACTAGACTTGACGTAGACTCTTGCTGCGATCCAAAAAGGAGGCAGTCGTTTGAGCGGAAAAAGCGCTTCTTCAAAGAACTAAAGATCACCAAAATGCTTGCAGTCATTGTGAGCCTGTTTGTCATCTGCTGGAGTCCGTTTCTTGTTGTTACTCTCATCGAAGCTTTTACATTCGAGGAAATTCCACTTGCGGTTCAAGGAGTCATTGTCTTTCTTCCTTACGTGCTATCGTGTGCGAACCCTTGGATCTACACTGGAATGAACAGGGACTTTCGCTTGGCTTTTAAGAAACTTTATTGCAACTCGAAAAATCTATGCCGCAACCGTTCTAGAGACGGTGATGGTAACGAACGAATGTTAAGACCACTGCCTTCGACTACAGTCGATGATACTTTGATTTCCAACGGCCTGCGACACGGGCCCAGTTCTTTCAAAAGGGTATCTACTCGAGGACCAGAAATAAGCATTACCACCGTCTAGGTCTTTGGGGTAGGTGATGGTGAAAACGAAGGCAATAACAATTAAGTCCTTAAGTCATCTTCGAACGTCGGAACTCAATTAAACTAATCATATTTAAAATATTATTTAGAGGCAGAGGATGCATTTCCTCTCAAGCTCCCAAACTAGACGTTTTTAGAGCAGTTTAGACAGTACATAGTACTTACAATTTTAGCCATTGAAATGGTTTTGATTGACTAATGGAAGCACTCGGAAAGAGACGACTTTTATGTCAAAAAGTGAGAAGTATTTTGAAAGTAATTCCTTCAAAACGAAAACAGCACTTGCAGACACAGCTCTAAGACAAAGCCATTTGCAGTAATGATGCAGTCAGATAAAAAAAGAAAAGAATTTAAGGACTAAAAGAGCACATATTTTTGTCTGCGGACTGTTAGAAAATAGCAAACGGAAAGCAGGGTTTAAAATAGCACTGACTCAAGACAGGGACGTTCGCGTGTTTGCGTTGGCGTGTTGTTGGCGTCAGTGCTTTTTATTTTTTTATTTTTAAGATCTGTTACGTTGCGGAGCGGCAACAAACATTTAACATGACATACCGTGCACGAAATTTAAAAAAAGACCACAAGCTAAGCTTTCTAAGGTGTTTTGGTGCCTTGGGAGAGGTAACACCAAAGAAAAATAAAAAAGTGTATTTTACTTTGTGCATTTCCTACTCACGATCCACGAAACCAATTTGAGCCCAAGGATTCAGGAAGTGGGCCTTGATGGAGATAAATTTGAATTTATTTTGTTGGTCGTACTGAGTGAAAACTTTCAGCCTATTTTCACCGTGTAACGTAACACCTATTATTCTTGGAGTTGCACTTTATCTTATACTGTAAATTAAATGTTACAGTGTACATATATAGTCATCTAGTCTAGCTATAAAATATTAATTTGCGTATAGAGAGAATAAAGCGAAAATGAGCAATTTTCCAAACGTCTTTTACATGTCTACAACTATATAGTTTGTTGTCGAAAAGAACGAATGAAATTTTAATAACTAGCACTTGGCTAAAGAGGCTGTCTTTCTACTTCCGCAATGTCATGGCTACCTATAGCCATTAATCTCATTTCATGTCCTGTTACAAGCTACTGTAGACCGTAACGGCATTTGGACCACCTCGTAGTTTTCAAAATATTGCTGAAACCAGGACCCGGAAATAAGATAAATTCCTAAATTCAAGAGTTATATCTAGAATAAATTTACGATACACGTTAACTTCACGCATTGCATATGATCTTTGCGATAGATCATATATAAGTAACAATTGCACTATTTTTCTGGGCTCGATTCAGTGAAGTCGATATTTTAAAAAAGCAAATGTAACAATCTTGAATTTTTGCGTAGCGGCAATTTCCAATTTTTTCAATGGTTCTTTCTTCCTGTACAACTTACGGTATCTGTGCGTGCAAACTACAAAAACATTCATCGGAGTTGGTTTGACGACGCACAGATCTTCGCATCGCTCTGCGAAATAAACAAAAATTATTTTGGATACGACGGGTGTTTGGGCAGACAACTGTGCAAATTTTGTGTTGATTTTCTCATTCGATTGCTAATTTCAAAGCCCATGCCCCGGGCTTATACATGGTTTATGGTTTTCGTGACGGACCAAAATCACATCGAAGGTTTCCAGAAAAAAAAAAAAAGGTTTTAAATATTATCAGCTGCAAGCCACTTGATACGGTTTTCATTGTTTACTAGAAATAAAATCTCAGCAAGATCTTTCGTATCACAAAAGTGCCGACAAGAAGTTTGTTTATCGTTTCATAAAATTCCTCTTATGAGTTTCGACGTTTTTAATAACAATTTCCTTTGGTTGCCGTGTATTATTGAATAAATATTGTTTTGAAAAAGTCAGGGCACCTTTTTCAAAGAACAATCCGCGGTACAAGAACGATATGGGATGGTATGGCGGTTTTTAAGATCCCATTTGATTTACAATAACTTGTAGGCACCCAGTGGAGAAGATTAAACAGGTGGATAACATCAGTCAAAGTTTAAAAGGCCAGCCGCTGCCCTCCTACATTACACCCCATTAGCTACCAAATAATAAAGTAATAGAAAACATGTACCGTGTTTCTATCGAGTTATAGAAACACGAGTGGAAGTTTGGGAGAACGAGAAATGCTGTGGGAACACGAGCTACGTTAACTTTGATTATCAAAGTGTAAATTCTCTTTGCTCGCGCCATAATCACGTCAACAGCTCGTGCTAGTTGTGTTTCCATCGAGTTATAGAAACACATTTTAACCAATCAGCGCACTTATTTTCTTAGGACTGTTTTCTAATTGTTTGTATCAGGTAGAAGTGAGAGTGTTTGTGTCGCGTAGAAGCCACCTTAATCTGGATGGTTGAATGGCCATTGTATTTAAAATACAGATGGGATTAACGAGTGTGCCAGAATCATAGCTTTGACTAAAAGGAATACCATACCAAAATGTCTGTCCAATTTCATATTTTGAGTAAACTGGTATTTACGCTGTTCTGCATATGCATACATGAAATGTTTACTTACACTACATAATATGAAAGAACTTTGACAAACTGGTTAATCAAAGAAGTTTCATTAATCAAAGAAGTTTCATTCTCATTTTTTTTTTCGAAATTTCAAATAGCAGCAAAGTAATACCATTACTTCTCAGGTCTTAATGGCCATCTGATATGAGCACGAGGACTGATTTTCCATTTAGTATGCTGAAAGGAATCGCCTGAAAATTGTAGTCACAGAGGACAAAGAAGATCGGAATTTAAACTGACTAAACATCTAAACTAACTGCGGTTGGGTTTTAGAAATAATATCTTTGAAAAACGTTTCTTTGGAAAATTTATATCCCTGAAAATTAAGGAGTTCAAACCTGACATTGCACACGAAAATTTATGGGATGAAATATTACGTATATCTCGAGCTCCAAACCGTTCGCCTGTAAACCATTACACAGACAACCAAAAGAATTCGAGTTACCTTTGAAATGCAGTTTATTTAACAAAATACACCGGCAAAGGCATTGGTCTCTAAAAAAAATTGTTGGGCTGCATTGGTTCGCAAGTGAAACACATAGTTATAATTACCAACTTGAAATTGACCGCCATAGCGAATTTGTAAATCGGACGTTTCGAGCGAAGCCGGACGATGTGCTGACGCTCAAAACGTCGAATTGAATCGCACTGTTCGCGCCAAATTATTTGTTTAGAGCAATTCTTGTTAAGATTATTTTATTTTTCCACTGTATAACACTTTTTCACATATTTTATCACATTTTAGCGTTCGCCACATTTTTATCTATTATAATTTGTTTTTAACATATTTATGCTAATTCAGAAAATTTTACTCACTTGAAAATGACCTCGGAGAGGTCGAAACGCCGTGACTTTTTAGCGCTAGTTTTTATTTCAATATAGAATTTTTTCTTTTAATAAGTTTTAGATTTTACTCGGATTGAGACCGTTGATGGCGTATGATCGACTGATAAGGTGAACTTTGAATATAACTTTCTTTTAAAATTATAGCAGTTTCATTAGATGTGGGAATTGTAAACGTTTTTGTTTTTCATGCAATTTGAGTGCGTTTGCATCCCGATTATAACACCCTCGCATTAGGGCATTGCGTAAAGTTTTCGAGCAAGATCACCGCTCCCCNCCCCCCGCACCCCTCAATTCCGAAGGTACCCGTACAGCTATGACCTCTTCATAAGCATGACACAGAGAGACTCTAATAAATTGATTGGTGCTGTTATTGATTGTTTAATCGATTTAAAGTTAGAGTTAAAGAAGAACAGAAAATGAAAACCTGAATACGGGTAGCGAATGAGGTTACTGGTTGGAAATTTAGAGTAAAAATGTGTAAAATCTAAAATGTTTTCCATATATTGGGTCATGCAATCTTCGTGGGTATTATGTGATAACTGGAATTCTAGTTGCTACAAGGAAGTTCAATTCGTAGGACTTGATACGAAAACGGGTTACATGAACGACAAATGAAATAAACAAACTATCGGATTATGAGTCAAATTATCACCGAAGAATCTTTAAAGTGAAGTTCCAAAGTAATCGTTTATTGATTACTTGAGCAATTACTTTAACTTTTGTTGATGCGAAGTCGGTGTATTTTGTTCATTATCAATTTCAAATCGAATCTGGAAAGTAGTATCATCACTGAAAGGGGACTCAGTACTATAATTCAGTCAGCTAGGCAAAACTTGGTTTTATTAGCACTAGCTGTGCGAATACGAGCAGCAGCATGCATTTACAAGTGACTAAAACACATTCATTCTTTTCACGTTGTCCCAACTAGGGGTTATCCTTCATAAGTGGAAGCATAAGCATGGATACACGAAGAACAAAATTGTTCTTTATTCCTCTTTTAATTCTTATACTAGTAGTAATCAGAGATTAGAGGAGTACCTTCGACAGGATATTGTCTGTGAGAGGGAGTTAACAGGATTTATAGGCATATATGTTGCTATTTCACTCGGTAGATTTACTTTGTGGCACAATGGCCGCCGAGCTTGACAAATCGGTAAATTCACTTTCTGGCACAATCGCCGCCAAGCTACACAACTTAGTTCGTTTATCATGTGACCAAAAGCTATAGTAATGTTGCTCGATGACTGTCGAATGTATTCACTGCCAAATTCATTCACAATGACAAGATGACTTTTCTTCGTCGAAGGCGAGAGGGTTGATAACACAATGCCGAATTTCCGTTTGATATCTGCACCGGGAGTAGCACACAAGTCCCTAAGACTTTGATAAAACATTTTGAAAAACATAACGACTTACTCGAACGAAATATAAGGCAATTTAACTTACCAACAGCAGTAGTTTCTCCTATAAAGAACAGCCAAATAATTCCACCTTCTTGACTACTTTCTCCACATACGCAAAAGCACGTGGAACTTGCGTGAAATCGAGGCCAATAGGCTTAGAAGCGAGGGCACAGTCTCAGAGGGGGTGGGGGGCTAAATTTGACGCGACTTAAGGACGGTGCCTACTTTTGATTGTGCGCACACGTTTGCGCATCACGCAAGCATGGTTTAAGCGCCACGCACGCGCTGGGTTGACAGTGACGCAATCAACTATGCTACCAAGTACACGACTGAAATGAAAGCAAAGTTTTCCTACTGTGACCAAATCAAGTTTAAGGAACCTGTACTTAAACCAGGAATACCAGACTAGCAGCGTATTGCTAACCACTAACTGTTAACGTCTTCCAGCTGAAAAACTAGCCGTTATCTGTCAAAAATTATACTGAAATCCAATTGTAAACATGTACCTGCACATGGCGTAGTGCGCACGCGAAACAAGTATGAGATACGCATTTGTTTTACTAACTAGGGAGGTGACAGGAAAAAATGTTACGGGCACCGTAAAAGTTTTTAAAAAAGATCAATAACTTTAACAAACGCGTGGTTACCTCTACATTTTATGTTATGAAATGGAAGTGGCAAGCCTATTCAACACGTGATTAGTTTCTGGTTGTGAGCAAAAGGTATTTAGACTGTATTTTAGCTGAACCAGAGGAAAACTGTCAGAGACGCTAAAAACGCTGTGGCAACGATTTTGTTATTAAAAACATAGCAAAAATGGTTTTTATGTTACCATTTACCATGTAGTTAAATGTGTTTGCGTTTCTGTATATAAACGCGAATTCTAAGGAAATCTGTGAAGAAATATCCTTTCCTTCTTTTTTTTCAGAAAAATGCTGATGTCAGCATTTTTGATGAGATTCAAGGCTAATTATCTCGAAAAAACGCCTAGCTACCCCAATTTTTCTTTCTGGATGCTAATAGCCCTTACAAAGATCTACTTTTTCCGCGTGGTCCTAACCTGGAGCAAAAACCTTTGTATTT